TGCTAATTTAATAATGACGATAATCTATTAGGCAACACGAAGATGGGACATAGATACATAGATAAAGATAAGCAAAGAAAATAAAGTTGAAAACATGAGAAAAATTTAAAGAAGAGATAAGAAGAGGAAGAGGTAAAAGATAAAAGCAAAAAAAGGTGGTGAGTAAAATGGAGATATAAGGAAAGGACGAAAAAAAATATATATGTAAATATATATACATATATACATACATATACAATATATATATATATTATATATATATATATATATATATATTATATAGAGAGAGAGAGAGAGAGAGAGAGAGAGAGAGAGAGAGAGAGAGAGAGAGAGAGAGAGAGAGAGAGAGAGAGAGAGAGAGAGAGAGAGAGAGAGAGAGAGACAGACAGAGACAGAGACAGAAAGACGAAAGAGAGAGAGAAAAGATGTAAGAGAGAAAACAAAATAAAACAAGAACAAAAAGAGCAAGATTAAAAAGCGGCCAGAATAAAAACCAGACGAAAAGCAGCAGACTCCAGGGTAGGCTAGAGAGAGAGAGGGAGGAGAAGGGGGTCCAGGGGGGCGGGGCGGGCGGCCAGGCTCTCTCACAGTGGTGTTGACGAGCGCCGGCCGGATGTAGCAGTGGCCGAGGCTCGCCATGGGCAGCGGCGGCCACGGCTGGCGGGAGGAACGCGAGGCTACTTGCAAGTCGTGAAGGGCACCTACGCCGACGCCGCTGCCGCTGCCGCCACGCCGTCGGGAGCGGCTCAGAGACGTCCGTCGGGAGCGGATTTCGGACACCGACGAGCGACCCGACTTCATGGAGCGGCTCCTGACGGTGCTGCGGCGGATCAGGTAGCGGACGCTCGAGCCCATCGGGGACAGCAGGGCCGCCTGTGGGGGCAGGGCAGGGCAGGTCAGGGCGGGGCAGGTTCAGGGCAGGAGAGGGAAAGGCAAGGCAGGGCAGGGGCAGGAGAGGGAAAGGCAAGGCAGAGGGCAGGAGAGGGAAAGGCAAGGAGGGCGGGGCAGGGCAGGAGAGGGAAAGGCAAGGCAGGGCGGGGCAGGGCAGGAGAGGGAAAGGCAAGGCAGGGCGGGGGCAGGCAGGCAGGAGGGCAGGAGAGGGCAAGGCAGGGCGGGGCAGGGCAGGAGCAAGGCAAGGGCAGGAGAGGGAAAGGCAAGGGCAGCAAGGCAGGAGGGCAGGAGAGGGAAAGGCAAGAGGGAGGGCAGGCAGGCAGGGCGGGGCAGGGCAGGAGAGGGAAAGGCAAGGCAGGGCGGGGCAGGGCAGGAGAGGGAAGGCAAGGCAGGGCAGGGCAGGGAGAGGTAAGGCAGGGTAAGGCAGGGGGCCAGGACAGGGCAGGAGAGGGAAAGGCAAGGCAGGGTAAAGCAGGGCGGGCCAGGGCGGGGCAGGAGAGGGAAAGGCAAGGCAGGCAGGGCGGGCCAGGGCGGGCAGGCAAGGGGCAGGGCAGGGCAGGAGAAAAGGCAAGGCAGGGCGGGGCAGGAGGGGAAAGGCAAGGCAGGCAGGCAAGGCAGGGCAGGAGAGGGAAAGGCAGGCAGCGGGGCAGGGAAAGGCAAGGCAAGGTAAGAAAGGTAGGGCAGGGCAGGGCGGGCAGGGAAAAGCAAGGCAAGGCAAGGTAGGACGGGGCAGGTTAAGGCAAGGCAAAGCAAGGCAAGGTAGGGCAAAGCAAGGCAAGGTAGGGCAAGGCAAGTCAGGTCAGGGCAGAGCGGGGCAGGACAGGGCAGGTTTGGTCAGGCTAGGACAGGGCAGGAGAGGAAAAGGCAGGATATGGTAGGATAGGACAGGATAAAGAAAAGAAGACAAAGGCAGGACAGGAAAGAGAAGGGAAGGAAAAACAGGCTAGGATATGACAGGGCAGAGTTGGGCAGAGCAGAAAAGAGAAGGGCAGAGCAGTACAGGGCAGGGCAAGACAAGACAGATTCGGAAAGAACAGAGACAGGGAGGACAGGACTTGGAAGAAGCAAAGACAAGACGGGGCAGGACAAATAAAGATAGGGTAGGGCAGGGAGATAAGGAAGATTAGGATAAGGCAGGATAAGGGAGGGTAAGACAAGTCAGTATAGAGCTAGGCAAGACAGGTCAGAACAGGTCAGGATAGTGCAGGATAGCATGGGTCAGAGAAAATCAAGGTAGGTTAAGACAGAGCAGGTTAGGGCAGGACAGGGCAAGCTAGGTCATGATAGGATAGGACAGGGCAGAGTTGGGTAGGGAAAACTAGGGCAGGATAGGACAGGACAGGGTAGGGTTAGGTAGGGCAAGCTAGGGCAGGATAGGGCAGGATAGGGCAGGATCGGGTAGGGCAGGAGAATGATACAAAGATAAGGAGAGGAACACGTAATAAAAATGGGAAGAGAGGTGATGAAAAAAGGTAATTCAGGAAATAAGGAGGAGAAAGAGAAAGCGAAGTAACACTTAGAAGAACAAGAGAGAATCAAAGACAATTAGAAAGAAAGAGATGGATAAATAAAGAAAGAGGAAGGGAAATAGAGAAATGGAGAGAGAAAGAAGAAACAGCAGAAGGAAAAGGAGAAGAAGAAAAGCAAAAACAAAACAAAAATACAAAAGCAAACAAGAGCAAGAGAAGAGATGATCACACCAATAAAGAAGAGGGAAATTAGAGAGAAAAGAGAGACCGAATGAGGAAATGGGACAAAGAATTGAAAATCGACCAAAAAGGTAAATTAAGACAGTTGACAAATACATCATCAAAAAAAGGAAGAGAAAGAAAGAATGGAAGAAAAAGTGGAAGAGGGTAAAAAAAGATAATAAAGAGGAAGGAGGTGAAAAAGAAAAAGAAGAAATGGAAGTAAAAGAGAAAAAAAGACAAAGACAAAGAAAAAAGCGGAAGAATGAGAAAGAGAAAAAGAACAAAAAGAAAAAGGAAAAGACAAGAAAGTAGGAGAGAAGGAGAAAACGAAGAGAGCGATAAACACGGCAATAAAGAACAGGGAAAACAGACAGACGATAAAGAAGGGAATGGAGTATAGGAATAAAAACATTTCCGTGAACTGAGAAACCAGAAGAAAGAGAAAGAGAAAGAGGGGACAAAAGGAAGCAAGAGAAGAGGAGACATGATAAACATGGCATTAAAGAAGAGGGGAAGAGGAAGAGGGAATTAAAAAATATACGAAATTAGAACAGAGATGATAAATGCCCTTAAGTAGGGAAGTACTTATAAAGAGAGAATAAACAGACGGAAAGAGAAAGCAGGGAGAGAGGGAGGAGAAAGAGAGAGGAAGAGAGGAAGACGATTGAGGTGAGGAAGAGGTCACAGGAAGAGTGCGTGACCTGCCGGTGAGAAGGGGGAAGGGGAGAAGAGGGGAGGAGGGAGGAGGGAGGAAAGAGGGGAGGAGGGGAGGGAGAAAAGAGGGGAGGAGGGGAGGGAGGAGGGAAGGAGAAGGAGGAGGGAAGGGAGGGGAGGAGGAAAGAGAGGAGAGGAGGGAAGAAGAGGAAAGGAGGGAAGTTTGGGGAAAAGGGGGAGGGAAGGAATAGGAGAAAACGGGAAGGGAGAGAGAGGGGAGAGGCAAGGGAGAGCAGGGGGAGGAAGGGAGAGGAGGAGAGAAGAGGGGAGAAGGGGAGGGGAAGCTCCGGGCAGACACCTGACGCGCGGTAATCCCCTTGACGACGAGAAAGGGGAAATAAGGAGAGGGAGGAGAAGGAGACGGAGGACGGAGGAGGAGAGACAGAGGAGGGAGGAGGAGAGATAGAGGAGGGAGGAGGAGGAGACGGGGGAGGCAGGAAGGAGGGAAAGTGAAGGGAGAATGTAGATGAAGAGACAAGGCAAGGAAAGGGGAAGGGAGGAAGAGGAGAGGATTTGGGAGGGAGAAGTAAAGATGGAAAGGGAGGAGAGGGGCAAGGAGGAGGAAGAGGGAGACGGAAAGATGGAAAAAAGAGAGAAGAGAAAAGGAGAAGATAGAGTAGGAAGAGGAGTGAATAAGGTGCAAGGAAATGGTGAAGAAAGACGAAAAGAAAAAAGCAAGAAAAAAAAACAAGGAGATATTAACGACGACGAGGAATCAGGGTTGGAAAAGAAATAAAACCGAGGATAGAAGGAAAAGAGACGAAAGAGGGAGAAAGGAGAAAGAGAGGCAGACAACAACAAAGAGGAAGCAAGAGGAAGAGGGGGAAATAGGGCTGGGCAGGAAGAAGGGTGCCTCTGCTAATGAACCCGACCGTGGGTGCCAGGACGGGGTCACAAGTGCCTTCCAGTGCCATTAGTTGGGTCAACACCGGCAAGGCACGTCGTCGAGCGTGGTGGATAAGGTCACCTGATACCTGCGCCGAGGCTCGTGACCTGCTTTGACCTGCAACCCCTTCTTTCCTTACCTATTTCGTGCTCCTCCTGTCACTTGGTGAAAATGGTAGAACAATTCCCTCTCCCCATTATTCTTCGTTATAAAAGTCATCCTTTCAGCAAAAAAAAAATAAAATCTCCTTCCATTACTGATTCTTATAACAATTTCTGACATAAGGAATCAATGACGTGGTTGTTTATCAAATCAGAATGTCAGAATTATCATGTATTCGACAAAACAGGGATGCCAACAAAACCCTGAAAATCTCATGCTTTCATCTACATTACCACTGTACAAAGGTAAAAATGGAGGTACATTAAAGTAGGGAACAAAGATAAAAACCAACTACTTTACATTACAAAAAAGTAGAAAGGATATATACACAAATAGTTCAGTGTGTATATATATCTAATTATACACATGTATACCTAGACATATATACATACATATATACATATACGTATGTACAAACATACATATACACACACAGAGACACACAGAGAGCACACACACACACCACAGAGACACACACACAGACACACACACACACACACACACACACACACACGCACACGCACACGCACACGCACACACACACACGCACACACACACACACACACACACACACCTATGCATCCATCCACCCATACATAAACACACCATCTACATACACCCGCATCCTTCAGCAGAAAACTCTCTCCCTTCCTCACCTTGTTCGAGAGCAGGAACTGGGACTCGAAGGCGAGCACGAAGTACATGAGCAGAAGCAGGATCGGGTTCACGAACTTTGACCACTCGTCCGTCGTGACCTGGGCCGAGCGCGGGTCAGTGCAGTTCGTCTGTACCACCGCCGTGAGCCCCGTGACCCTGGGTGAGGAATGGGGGGGAGGGTTAGGTCAACAAGGAGGGAGGGAGATGGAGGAGGGGGGAAGGAGGAGGAGGAGGAGGGAGGAGGAGGAGAAAGGAGGAGGAGGAGGAGGAGGAGGAGGAGGAGGGAGAGGAGAGGAGGAGGAGGAGGAGGAGGAGGAGGAGGAGGAGGAGGAGGAGAGGAGGAGGAGGAGGAGGAAGGAGGAGGAGGAGGAGGAGGAGGAGGAGGAGGAGGAGGAGGAAGAGGAGGAAGGAGGAAGAGTAAGAAAGAGTAAAATATGAATTAATTATTAATAAGGTGAATTAAAGGTATGGAATGCTGAATTTGATATCCTAACGTCACACGATCCCACATTTAATCATACAAATTAATAATATAAAATGCTCAACTGAGAAAATTTGCATATAACTAGGAAACAATGGGAAGTTGAAAACAACTACGAAAAGAAAATTGAATAATGAATTAATTATATCCATACTGACTTAATACTTAACTATAACAAAGAATGGATGTCTCTATTATACCACCTGATTATATAAAACACTAATTTCCGTAATTACAAGTAAAAATATTACACCATAAGCTCAAAAAATAAGGAAAATGTCATCATCAGACCAGCTTCATCAAGGTAGAAGAAACAAAAAAATTAATGAGGAATTAGATGAATTAGTAAAGAAATAAACAATTCAATGAAGACGAATGAAGAAATAAGTAAACACGCGAATAAACAAAATCCACAAACAAAGAGATCAAGAACACACAAAACCTTCAACCAAGTAACGAAACAATCCACAACCCATTTAATCCATCAATCAATAATCATCAACACCAGCCAGACAAACAAACACAAAAAAATACAAAAAACACTAATCATAAAGAAAAACAAAAACAAAAAATCCATCGTCATCATCACCACCAATGCATTCATTCCCTTAAATCAACTAACCACAAACAAACAAACAAACAAACATCATCATCATCAATGCATTCATTCCCTTAAATCAACTAACCACAAACAAACAAACAAACAAACATCATCACCACCAATGCATTCATTCCCTTAAATCAATAACCACAAAACAACAAACAAACAAACATCATCACCACCAATGCATTCATTCCCTTAAATCAACTAACCACAAACAAACAAACAAACAACATCATCATCCACCAATGCATTCATTCCCTTAAATCAACTAACCACAAACAACAAACAAACAAACATCATCATCACCAATGCATTCATTCCCTTAAATCAACTAACCACAAACAAACAAACAAACAAACATCATCACCACCAATGCATTCATTCCCTTAAATCAACTAACAACAAACAAACAAACAAACAAACATCATCACCACCAATGCATTCATTCCCTTAAATCAACTAACCACAAACAAACAAAACAAACAAACATCATCACCACCAATGCATTCATTCCCTTAAATCAACTAACACAAACAAACAAAAACAAACAAACATCCATCACCACCAATGCATTCATTCCCTTAAATCAACTAACCACAAACAAACAAACAACAAACATCATCACCACCAATGCATTCATTCCCTTAAATCAACCAACCACAAACAAACAAACAAACAACAATCATCACCACCAATGCATTCATTCCCTTAAATCAACTAACCACAAACAAACAAACAAAATCATCACCACCAATGCATTCATTCCCTTAAATCAAACTAACCACAACAAACAAACAAACAAACAAACACATCATCACCAATGCATTCATTCCCTAAATCAACTAACCACAAACAAACAAACAAACATCATCATCACCAATGCATTCATTCCCTTAAATCAACTAACCACAAACAAACAAACAAACAAACAAACATCATCACACCAATGCATTCATTCCCTTAAATCAAACCACAAACAAACAAACATCAATCACCACCACATTCAACAAAACACAACAAACCAACAAACAACATCATCATCATGCAATATTCATTCCCTTAAATCAACTAACCAACAAACAAACAAACAAACAAACAAACAAACAAACATCATCATCATAATCAATATTCATTCCCTTAAATCAACCAACCAACCACAAAACAACAAACAAACAAACAAAATAACACAATAATTCTCACCTGGCACCCAGAGAATCCGGGGGTATGTGCTCTTGTATCCACTGCGCCTGGTAGATGTACAGGAACACCACGTGCACCCCGGAGTACACCATCACTCCTCGACACACGTACCTAGGAGTACATTTGGCATGAAGTACTTTTGAGATAAAATTTTAGGTAATACACGACGGAAGGAAAGTGTACCGAAAGGAAAGTACATTTAAGGTAAGCTAAAGGAGAGTACATTTAAGGTAAAGTACATTTCAAGGAGAGTACATTTAAGGTAAAGTACATTTCAAGGAGTGTATTTTTAAGGTAAAGTACATTTCAAGGAGAGTACATTTAAGGTAAAGTACATTTAAAGGTAAAGTACATTTCAAGGAGAGTACTTTTAAGGTAAAGTACATTCAAGGAAGAGTACATTTAAGGTAAAGTACATTTCAAGGAAGAGTACTTTTAAGGTAAAGTACATTTCAAGGAGAGTACATTTAAGGTAAAGTACATTTCAAAGGAGAGTACTTTTAAAGGTAAAAGTACATTTCAAGGAGAGTACTTTAAGGTAAAGTACATTTCAAGGAGAGTACATTTAAGGTAAAGTACATTTCAAGGAGAGTACTTTTAAGGAAAGTACAATTTCAAAGTATTTTAAGGTAAGTACATTTCAAGGAGAGTACATTTAAGGTAAAGTAACAATTTCAAGGAGAGTACAATTTAAGTAAAGTACATTTCAAGGAAGGTACATTAAGGTAAAGTACATTTCAAGGAGAGTAGGTAAAGTACTCTCAAGGAGAAGTATAATTTAAGGTAAAGTACATTTCAAGGAGAGTACTTTTAAAGGTAAGTATACATCTCAAGGAGAGTATATTTTAAAGGTAAGTTACTTTCAAGGAGAGTACTCTTTAAGGTAAAGCTATTTAAGGAAGAGACATTTAAGGTAAAGCTATTTCAAGAGCGTACATTCATTTAGGGGTAAAGTACATGTAAGGGTAAAAGTAATCTAGGTAATATATCTTTAGGGTAAAGTACATCTAAGGTAATATACATTGAGAGTAAACCGTATCTGAAAGTGAAGTACATGTCAACGAACGTACATAAAAGGTAAAGTACATTTAGGATAAAGTACATTTAAGGTAGTAAAGTGTATCTGAAAGTAAAGTACATGTCAAAGAACGTACATATAAGTTAAAGTACATCTAATTCGCATTCAAAACTACCGACTATGATAACGTTTAATTAACTATCATCAATGCTACAAACCGGTAAGATAAAAATTTATTAAATCATACAGATTATCAAGCTGATTTGTTGAAAATTACGCGAAGCCCGACCCAATGAATATTCCGTATATACAGAACGCAATAAACACAAACAATGCATACCTCTTTATCTAAATCAGATATAGCATACAATTTTTTATCTCTCTATTTATACGGCAGATATTCATCTGTCTATTTTATCAGATATCATTCTATTTATACATTTATCTCTCTATCTATACGGTTATTCATCTGTCTTTTATCAATAATTATACATTTATCTCCTATTTATACGGCAATATTCACTATTTATCAAATATTTATATACATTTATCTCTCTATCTATAACGGCGATATTCATCTGTCTATTTATCATATATATAATACATTATCTCTCTATTTATACGGCAGATATTCAACTGTCTATTTATCAGATATTTACATACATTTATCTCTCTATCTATACGGTCGATATTCATCTGTCTATTATCAGATATATATACATTTAATCTCTCTATTTATACGGCGATATTCACTGTCTATTTTATCAGATATTTACATACATTTATCTCTCTATCTATACGGTCGATATCCATATCTGAACTGACAGATATGCATTTGCGTCAGTGCATATGCATGTCTGTATAATGAATGCTCATTGGGTCGGGACTCGCACAATTTTTTACAAACCGGCCTTCTGTTTATCCGGATTGGTACATGATGATAGTGAACATGCACAGAATTAGTGATGGATGGTAGATACACGCAAAACAAATGAAGCACAGAAACAGAAAAGGTATAATAATAATATTGTATTTCATGTGAAAAAAGCGAAAAGTATTCTAGTACTTTCCATATACATAATTTCGTGTTTTACTTGGATTATTAAAAAAAAAAAAAATCCAATATTCCTGCCTGAAACGTCACGAAATCTTCCAATTCTCCCTTCCTTCCCCCTATATTTCGCTTAATCAAAACCACACCTTAATCAAACAATAATTAAAACCTAGGCGTTTCCCAGAACCGCGAACCGCCGCCCATCTCCCCTCCGTTCCCCCCCTCTCCCACAACACCCCACCAATCAGCATTAGACGAATCATTACCCGAATTAGTGAATGGCCAGCCAATACTACGTGTAATCAACTATAGTAAACAGCAGTCATAATAATCTATCATAATTCTTCTCATTATAATTATTATCTCATGGTCGTCATCATCATCATTTTCATCATCATTATTATACGCTATCATTATATCTCAGCATTAGAAAGGATCATTACCCGAATTAGTGAATGGCCAGCCAAATACTACTGAATCACTACATAAACGAAGTTTACTACAATTACGGATAATGGGAATGTTTTTGGTAAGCCCTCGGCTATCGTGTGGAACGCATTGGTACCAATTACCGATAATGGGGATTGTTTTGGTACCGCCTACCGTGTTGGATAGCATTGTGTGCTGAAACTATAGGCTTAT